CAATGGACAGGCACACCAAAACGGTAGATTGGTATGTGGTGTGCAGCCGGTGATCTTCGAGGACTCAGCGCTAGCGCTCCTGTTTTTCCGCAAAAACATGGAGGCGGCATGTGCCACTAAAGATCACGTCTTAAAACTGGAGGGGACGAATTGTGGCATGGCGCTCCTGAGTTTCCACGTGAAACTTCGCCAGCTCGTCGAGTAAAGGCCTGCACGCGCGCTTAACGTCTTCTGCGCGATGGGCCTACCGGTAGGCGCGACCATGATAGCATATCGTGTCGCGTCACTTGCGCGCATCATGGTCAGGTTAGTCGATGACCATTGGTTCGTATCTCACATTCTTGCATTTTTACAACGACACCATGTCATGATCTGCACATTGGGATACAGCACCTTTTTTGTTGCAGTCTTCCTATTATTCAATCGAAGTTTGGGATGGACACTTTCAAAACAAAATCAGTATGGACGAAGATTAACTGCTTCGGGAAATAGAAATTCTGCTCTGTCCGCCAGGAAACCTTCAACGTCTTTCATCCCAACCGAACAGATTGAAGAGTTAAGGGAAGCTGTGGACCTTGTTTCTGTCGTTGAATCTTACAATCTGCCTCAGTTTAAACGAAATGGAGGTCGCGCAACCTGTTTATGTCCATTTCATGATGATCACAATCCATCACTGAGTATAGATGGAAGCAGAGGTATATACAAATGCTTCTCATGTGGAGCAGGAGGCAATGTCTACAATTTCATTCAGGAATATGCCAGATTGGACGGCGAAGAGATTCCATTTCCGCGCGCTGTAGAAATAGTAAAACAATTTGCCCCTGCTGGTGTCGGCCCATCTTTAGACTTCAAGGTCAACTCAAAGGATTCCCCATACAACCGCGCTCAGAAAGCAAAGAAGGAACGGCTAGTTCAAGCCAACTTGGCAGCTGCTGCATACTTTGAGAAAAGTTTGGTATCGATGGCTGGAGCTGGTAAGGCGAGGGCTTACCTACGAGGAAGGAAGCTGAATCCAACTACTATAAGGGCTTTCTCTATCGGATACGCTCCTGATTGTTATTTCGAACGAAAGGAAAACGGATCCAGGAGCTGGGGAGAGGGAAGTTTGGTCAACTACCTAAAAGAGCAAAGTTTCACAGCGCAGGAGATTTTTGATGCTGGATTGGCAACAAAGACGAATGCAAAGGGGGAAAGAAAGCAGACGACGGAAAAAAATCAGACAGGTAAGATAACTGAATTTTGCTTTTTTAAAATTTTTACCTCTAGGTACTACTTCAAATCTAACCGAAAGAAAAAAAGAAGATATCCAGTACTCGAATATTATGGACAGATTTCGAGGGCGAATCATTGTACCGATTTTTGATGCTAGAGGAAAAAGCGTGATTGGATTCGGCGGTCGCATTTTGGACACTTTTGTAACAAACACAGAGTTCAAAGTTGCCAAGTATCTCAATAGTCCCGAGTCCCTTATCTTCAAGAAGCAACAAATTCTCTTCGGACAACATATGGCCAAGAAATCGGTGCGTTTCTGGGCAAACAAGGCTGTTGACGACGCAAACCATCCCGTCGTGATTGTAGAGGGGTACATGGATGTAATTGCGCTTTGGCAAGCAGGAATCCGCGAAGGAGTGGCTTCTATGGGAACTTCTCTTACTGTCAAACAGCTGAATGCGGTAGCCGCTCTAGCTGGAAGGAAAAATGGTACGTGCGAATGGTCTCTGTTTGTTGCAATTCGTAGTATTTATTCGTTCGTCTAATAATTTGATTAGGGCATGTTGTGCTTTGTCTGGACAATGATATAGCTGGTTTGACTGCGATTGAACGCTTGTGCAGCGGAAGAACTCTGCATGATCTCATAGAACGGTATCCGTTAGAGATAAGGGTTGCTTCTCTTCCTGCAGGTATCAAGGATCCGGCAGAGTTCATCGAAGATTTTGTCGGGGAAGAAAACATAGTGGAAGCTTTTCGGACCGAGATAATAGCTGGAGCAATAGAGTGGTCAGATTGGTACATTAAGCGGGTTTTGGCATCATACAATCCAGCTTCTTCTCGGGGAGCTACCGGAAGTTTTGGTGATGTTTTCGACCGTGTTGCTGCTTTCCTCGCAAATTATAAAAACGCAGCTGACCGAACAAAGCAAGCGTGTGAAGTTGCAGGACATCTTGGAAGCATAATTGCCACAAGTGACAATAACACTCAGGTATCCAATGCGGTCCTTATTCAACTTGAATCCGACCTTGTAGAGAAGGCTGCTTCCATTGCGCAATCAAAATCAGGTACCTCCGTCACGGCAGCCTTATCAAGCGATGGGAAAAGTTCTTTTTCAGAGCAACTATCTAATCTCCTCCGTGAAGACAGAAATCTGGGAGTCGACGAAAGGAACAAGTTGTCAACCAAAGCTTTGCGACAACGAGAAGAAGTAGAAGATGACAGACAAGAGCAGTTTGTTGTTGGATCAACAAACATTATTGCCGTGAATAAGGAAAGAAGCTTGGCTCGCGGGTCTCGCTTCAAAATGAAACGGGCTTCTGACAATAAGGTCCCCGATCTATCGCCGCACTTTAAAGGTTTTGACTTTCTTAGCGAAACCGATGTGAAATGGCTTGGATTGGCCGACGAAAAGGTACGCTTTTATGGAGTTTTGCTATTCCACTGTCTGTACCAACTCTTCCCATTCTTACTTATTTGAAAAGGGTCGAATAAAGAAGTACCTTTTGCCGAAGGGTGCTTTCAATAAGTTTGGGGAAATAAATGAGTTTGGCCAAAAGAAGCCAATATACTTCAACTCAAATGATTATCATGGCAATCAGTTCCTGACTGCCGAGGCCATGCTCGCGGGATATAAGGACGACAATGCAAGAAGGGACCCTGAGATATTCACAAAAGGTATTGCTTTGCTTTTGGAACGAGATGTAGCCGAGGTATGGATGGATGCAGAGGATTCTCTCCTGCACATGCTTGTGCTTTATGCACCAGCCAGGAAGGCTATAAAAACGATTCTCCACATTAGTGATGCAGCACAATCCGGCGACGCGCTGGAATGGAGCTCCAGTGTGAAGCAGTGGCTGTTTCATGTTCTTGTCAACGAAGAAAGTAGCATACCTAGTCACATAAATGGACCATCGGACAAAGGAGAGTTGCACACATACCTAAGGAGGTGCATTGCGTCACATGACATCTCGTCCGGATCGGATTCTTCTAAATTGAAGGAAGACATTGGAATGGAGTCTGCAAAGGTCGTCGAAGACCTGAGTTGGGAGGAACTCCATGAGACTGCCACAACCATGAGCAATCTGTCGTTCTCAATTGAGGGCTCGAACCACTCAAATGAGTTTGATATGCCACTGGGGACCACAATTATGCATGGTGCTATCAAAGCGCCAAAGCCCGAAGAAATCGACTTCATTTTTGATCCCAAGTTTGATCCACCGGACTTGGTTACTCTCTCGGTTTATGACGACGAAATGCTTCGACTGTCAGCACAGCAAGTGTACTCGGCACTCCTGCTGGCTTCAGCACAGCGAAAGTTATCATTTCTGCAAAGCAATCTAGTGAGTGCTGTGAATTTGTTGCACGATGCCGCAAATGAGACAGCTTTCTTGGAGGAAGACGTCAGCGTTTTACTGTCTATCGACGAACGTATTCAAATCGTAAATGGAACTGTCAGAGTGAAAGAGATGAAGGAGTTGTGTGGTATTCTTGCAACAAAGATTGGAGGGGAAACCCAAGCAATAAGCCGGATTGCAGAATCAAATAATCGTTTGTCTCAACGTTTATCAGATCTCGCATTATCTAAACAAATAGAAGAAGGAGAGATTTCAACCAACGATTACGAAAGCCTGAGACGAAGGCTTGATGAGCACATGCTTGAGATTGCTGAATGGTCTCTCCCAACAGTTTCAGACGAATTCAGGGATGAAGAGCCTTACGAGGATACGCTGGAACGGGCTCAGCTCAGTTGGGGTAGACTTTTCGACGACGAGTACATGTGGTCTATCAAAGATGCAAGAGAGGTGCCTCTCGTGCAAAAATCGGCCGCTGCTGACTCAGAAGAAACTCGCGAGCCAGGATATGAAGAATCCCTTGACGAGTTTAATGCTCGGATAGAAAAATCCTGGGGTTGGTTAGACCATAGGGATGACGTCAAAAGTGGCGATGACGATGATGAAGATGAAAGCCGCCTGTACACTTTCGACCAAGAGAAGTGGGATGATCTTTTGAACAGTAGCGAAGAAGAATCGTGATCTTTTATTTTAATCGTTTTATTCAGAAAGCTTGTTGTGAAAAATGTTGGTAAAAAGAGTTGCAACTGAGTTGCAACTCATTCTGTTAGAAGTAAGCGATCCACTGCCGCCTGCAATCTACCTGTTCAATTGACTGCAATTTAGCTGTCTAGGTATTGTTGCCTTCTAAGTATATGAATTTATAGTATATAGAAGTATATAGATCTATCAGAGATCCTACTTTATCAACCAATTCACTCGTTGCTTGTGAAATATTTTAAAAAGTGAGAACAATCTGTCAACTTTTGACTTCGACTCTTTTTCTTCCAAGCTCAGTGAAAATTCTGAGAATTCTCTCTTCGTCAGCCTGATATACTTCAAGTTCAATATATTTATCCGTTCACCTTCCACTGTAGTCGATACTTTGATTAGTATCCAACTTTGGATCTTCCTTGAGTCTTGCTTTCTTACATCATCAATCAGATGATTTCCACAGAAATAGGATCCTTTTTCTGACTCGCCACGCGTGATATTTTTAGTCCTATCAGTTGACATCTTTTTCTCTATCGTTCACATGTATTCTCTTTTTCTCCCATCTCTCTGCCCCTCTATGTTTCACTCTCCCTCTGTCAAACACAGGACTAGGGAACTGCAGTCTGTCACGTAGTTGGTCGCCACATTGTTCTGGAACACTGTACCATTGGGACGCTCTCCAATTCCTTGGATCGATACACCCATGGTAGTAGGGCGCACGAACAATTGGCTTCCCACCTGCTACACAACCATGCCCACCATCACCTTCAAAAAACTCAAAAAACAAAATAAAAATACGCCGCCTTGAGTGGCAAGATCGTTTCTACATGTGCAAGGGTGCAATGTAATATCCGATAAGAGCAACTTCCTTGGGATTGGATGCCTCAAACTGGTTCAGCAGTACTGGACTCACCTCCGTATGGTAAATGGCCATGACAGCCGTTAACGGCAATCTAGACACTTGAGATAGTTTTAATACGATTAATGCATCAGTTATATTTATGTATTCTCTTTTTCTCGTTTCTCCAAATATATACTTAAAAAATCCTAATATTGTTGAAATCCTGAGACGGCTCCACAGGAGCAAGGCCTCTGGATTGGGCTTTGAATCAATAAAGGTAGTTTTATACAAATTTGGTTGATAAGTAATCAAATTAATAAATTGTGAGATTATCACTAGTTGAAACTACTTGGAAAGAGTTGCTGCACCGAATCTCTAAGAAAGCTAATGAGATTTGAAGAGAGCTAGAGCATCGATTTTCAGTCGTGACTGGAGTCCCAGCTAGCGGAGTAGTGGAGGCGTCTGTGTGTCAGTACGTCTACTGAGAGCCCAATATTCCAAGACTCCCTCATGCCGAGCTATGCAGGTAGCGAGGGATGCTCACCAGCCTATTAACCATTTCCTATGCTTGATAAAGAGTTCGTCAGCCAGTGGTTTTGTCAGTATCAGCTGGTTGATCCTCAGTATCAATAGGATGAATGGTAATCTCCTTCCTCGTTACATATGACCTAAAGTGGTGCAGTTTTGTGCAGTGGTGTTTTGTCCTGGGTCTCCAGTTGTGGATTTTTGCCATTTCCAATGCTCCACTATTGTTTTCAAAGACTCTGCAATGGACTTTTGGGCGATGATCCAGGACAGGGATTCCATGCCGCTTCATTTCCTTGAGTAGGTTCATGAGGGGAATCGCTTCACGCAATGCATAACTGAGACCAGTGTATTCGCTTTTGGTAGAGCTCAAAGCGATTTTGGTTTGTAATTGACTTTTGTGAATTATTGGAACACCGGCAAACGTGATGACGTAGCCATGACGCAAGCATGCCGTGTCTGGATCATGTCCATAGCGTTCGTTCCAGTTCCCACAAAAATCTGCATCAACATACACCTCAAATGATTTCTTCAAGTCCGGTTTGATGAACATTCCCTTACCTGCCGTACCTAAAAGGTACTGTAACGTCGCTCCAATTCGTTTGATTGCTTCACCATGTGCTTTCTTTGGTGCTGACGAAAATCTGCTGCACTGATGACATGCATATGCAAGTTCCGGTCTTGTTCCTTTCTCCAGGTAGGCAATATTCCCAATGATTGATCGATAATTGAATTGATTGTCAAATTCCGGGGAGTCTGCTTCCTTTTGAAGGATTATGGAATGGATCATTGGAGTGTCTTGAGAGTTCGAATTGTTCTTTGGTTTGTCCTTTTGCTTGAGTCGCAGGGTCTCTAGGATCTGATTGATGAGGTGAGGCTGTGTGAGCCAAAATCCGCCATCTTTCTTCTTGATGTTGACTCCGAGAAAGTCCTTCAGATCCCATTCAACAGTCAAGTCTAATTTTTCTTTCATCAAAGAGATTGCTTCATCAATTTCTTTCTTGTCAGGTCCTGCAATGATCGAGTCATCTGTGTACAAGACATAGATCAAGAAGACGCAGTCATCCACCTTGGATTGGGCAAAGCCGCATTCTCTCAGTTTCTTGACCAGGAACTGGTTCCAAACACGTCCAGCTTGTTTTTGGCCGTATGTGTTGCGTCTCACTTTGAAACAATAATCAGCCGGGTCTGGTTTGTTGGGAATTCACGTGCGCGTGTAAGAACTAATGAAGTACTGTTGGGACTAACAAAGTACTTGTGGAAAATCCAGGTTTATATGGATTAAAAGTGGTCTTCAGGCGTGACAAATAGATAGGAT